ACAATTTGCTGTCCAATTATGATTTTGTTGTGTCTTACTTATTTCAACAAATGCTTTTAAGTTAAAATCAGAAAATGATTTCAAAAGTGTTCTGACTGAATGTAGAACGTGCTTCGAACGAAGTTGAATCGTCCCAAAAATCGTTTGCTTTAAACACTCTCTTCTTTTTTTTTTCAGTAAGAATTTTTTTATTTTTAAAAGAAGTAAAATGGGGCTAATTAAAAAATTTTTTTGTTACAAAATTATTTGACAAAAGTTGTTTGCAAACTATGTGCAAAATTAGAGAATTTTTTTTCTTTTAGTTTGTATCTAAGAAAATATAGACCCTCAGTTTTCTTATCGTATACATTTAGAGGGATAGAGGAAGTATAAGAACATTAAGGAAGTTTTAAGCTCCTGAATTTTTTAAAAAAAAAATAAATAAATTAAAAAAATAAATAAATAAATAAATAAAAAATAGAAAATAAAAAAAAAACGAAATAACTTATAGTGTAATTCATTATCTGAGTGTAAATATAGTTTTTGTACCTTGAATATGTTTAATGCGCAAGTAAATATTTTCTTATTCATAATTGCTTTAGTTTCCATTGATTCGAAACAAAATCATAACAGACCCAAACAACAGCTATTATTATTCAAAACACGGAATTGTTGGTCAAGAAAATTGGACAGGGTCATTCACCTAGGAGAAGCGTTGCGGCTTATATCTTCGTTGTCCGCTTTTACACTAAAAATACTAATAAAAGAAAAGATAAGGTTTAGTTGCCTTATTTAGAAATGACACTTTTTGCTTGATTGAAAGATCCATTAATCATTCATAATAGCATTTCGTTTTTATTCCCTGCTTCTTGAATCGTCATGCTTTTTATTGCGTTAGTTTTATTACTTTTTGGGGGGAATATTCTGTTTACATATCCTCGTCGTACAGGGGTGGGGGGAGATATTTTTTTTGGATAGCGTGGTGTTACGGGATATTGATTTGTCAGCCAATACTCGAAAGTGATACTTGCGAGTGGGAGTATTATGTAGGATATTAATAATGAAAGCCATTTCGTGATATTTGTCTGTTTCTACTATTTTTCCCTCGTTGAATTTAAGAATTAGTTTCGATAGTTTTTTGCACAGTATGTTTGCATGTATTTTTTCCCCTATGTTGAATTTAAAGAAGAGTTTCGGAATTTATTTTAGATTGGGATGTAACAAATATTCGGCCCTTTTGACGAATATCCAGTTGATCGAATATTTGGTCAAATATTTGGCAAAGTATTATCCAGACAAGTATTTTTCGACAAAGTTTTTTTGGGGGTAAATTTGAATGGATTTAATAAAGAATTATTTCAAATTTTTTTTTAACTATATATTATTATAAATGGTTTTAACATTTGTTAAGTTATAAAACTTTGTAATATATGTTCTGAAAGACAAATGGAAAAGTGAAAATTGAGGAATTGAAAATAGATTACTTTACATTAAACCATGTGTTTTGTAATCGTGATGGTTTTTTTTTTTTTTTTTTTTTTTTTTTTTTTTTTTTTTAATTAAACTATATTTAGGCAAATAAATTTCGTCGTTTTTTCAACAAATTATGTTTTTCAAATTGAGAACCCTTTTTTTTTATTTGTTTAATTTTTGCTTGTTTTTCTGTTTTATCTATAGAAAAGCATTTTGATGAAGCGTTTCTAATAAACTTAATTCTTTTATTATCACTTTTTTCTTGTGAGGTAAAACTAGTTACAAAAAACTGTGATTCTCAATGTTAAAGTTATATTTTCGAACTAAAAAATTTTTTTTTCTCTTTCTCTTATGATTTTTTCATTAACTTTTTCTTTTAATCAGAGTTTATATTATGGCAGCTTTTTTTAAAGAGCGTATTTAATGAGCGTTATTCCTCCCTTTTTTTAAAAAAAATACGACTATGTGAATTGAAATTTTTAGGGTTAAATCTTTCGTTTAATATTTAAGAACAATTTTCAGTGTGATTTTTATCTATATTTTCTTTTTCAAAAATTTTTTATGTTTTTATAAACGTTTTTACTATCATGCGGCAATTAAGAGGATTTCTATTCGACTTTAAACTTTACTTTTACCTGAAAATACAATAATTAGAAAACTAAAATTCTCAGCTTTAAAATTTTCCTTCAAAAACTAAGATCGATTTTTAATTTTCTGTTTTGCTTTTGTAAATAATCTTTGTTTTTTATGGGCGTTTTTAGGATAGCGCTGCAGTTTTAAAAGCGTTTCTGACAGACATTATTTCTTTCAATAGTTTATGTATAACTTTTTTTCCAGAAAATATTTTTTTAGCATTGAAGTTTTGTTTTAAGAATTAAAAGGATATTTTTTTCAACTTTAGTCTTTTTTAAATAGCTGCTAGTCAGTTTTTTTTTATTATTTTTTAAATATATATATGTATATTTATATCATACACAGAACAGAATTTTTCATTTTTATTTGCAGTGTTGTCTTCTGTGTACTTTTTTTACACTCTAAATCAAATGAAACCAAAACCAAGTTGATAATTTAAATGTTATAAAATGTTCATGCGTAAAAAATAAAATTTTGTACTTATAAATTTTTACGCGCCGGACATTGCTACTTATTACACGTATTAAGTATTTGTCATAATATATGATAATTAATCACACAATTTTATTCGCTATATTTATTTATTTCTCTGAATTTTCAATAGACCTTTTACCTAGTTTAGTTTACATAGAATAAATTTCAGATTTTTTTCACTTTTCATGATAAATTCACGATCTAATATTTATGTATTGTATTGTATAATGATAACAGAAAACATTTTCCCTTGAATAATTTTTTCTTAAAAAAATAAATAAATAAATAAATATTACTGATTTCTTGCATCATATGAAAAATTCTTAAAATTTCCAAATTTATTTGTAAACTTTACATGAAACTCTCATAAAGTTTCAAAAAATAGTTACTTAACTATTTTAAGTACTTTGGTATAACATTTACATCTAAATTATTTAATTCTTTGAACTTTTTAGTGTATTTTGTTAAATACGCATTTACAATATTATTTTATTCCTTATGATTATTTAACTACACACATTCAATTCGTAAGATGGTTTTTAAAAAAAATCTCTTGATAAATTGGGGCATAATGAAAATTAGATTACTTTAATAAATATTGCTATAAAACTATTAAAACAACATAATTTCTGTATTTTATTCTTAAATTTTTAGTAAATTCTCCTGAGTGCTTAAAATATTTGAATATTTTAAATATTTCGAATTAACAAAAATAATGAACATTGTGATTAATTGAGAAAGATAGTCTTGCATTTATATCTTTTTGCATTATTCAAAAAGTTGTTTCCTTAATTTGGCACTTTCAATTTCCTCAGGGAAGACACCCAAGCGTCACTGGCAAGTCACAATACATTTTGCTAGATAAATACTCAATAACATAAAAATTGATATTTGTAGAGAAAAAAAAATCCGTCTATTTTGCTCTGGTACTAGAAATATTTAGAGAGTTTTAATCCTTAATGTATATTTTATAGATCTCGTCAAGTATGAAATAATAAAAAATTTACTCCTTTAGCATCGCAAATAAATAAATTTGTGTATTTTTTAATCGTTGTGACAATTTGACGAATCATTATCGAGATTATTCGCAATGACTCTTTAATTGAAACCAGTTTGTTTGTCGGATGAAACTCTTAATCTTAAATTGACGATATTTCAGGTCATGAGGCAAAGGTATCTTCAAATATTAAGAAAAATATCTTCAAAATAGAAGCTAAAATATCTTCAAGTATTGAAAAAGTTTATTTTTCTTTTTTAAATTACTAATTTGCAGCTATTAATGTTTTTTTTCCCCTTGTAATATGCATTTAGGTCGGTGACATGCGTATTTTGAAACTTAGAGGTTTTATTTTTTAACTATCATTATGAATTCATGTATGAATTGTCATAAAACTTGTGATAAGTTATTTGTCGTGCGTGTATGTAATATTTCTAAGCGAGCGCAAGTATTAATGAAAGAAATGAATAATAAAAATGGAATAATAATTAATATTTAAACGAAGTGAATAATAATTAATATTAACTCCAATTAAAATTGCTAAATTTCGCGAGGAAAAAAATTTATTCGGTATGTGTTTTTAGGGCCTATAACATCCTTTCGCTTGTGTCATTATTGTTTTTTAAAAAATCACAAGTACACGGATTCAAATTTAAATATTGATTTCAGTTAAAGAAAGAATCAGTGAAAAAATGATAATCTTAGAAAAGATTTTTTCCCTCATACTGGTACCCACTCTAATTTGTTCTGTAGTAATAATGCGATTCCGTTGATTGATTAGTCCTTCATCTAAATTTTAGCTGTTGCATTCTGGGAAGTATTGAACGAGAAGAACGAATTCAACAGACCGAAGAAACAGGAGAGAACAACTCATCCCCACTCTGTGTTTATTTACAAATTTTAGAGACGGCAGTTTTGTTTTCAAAACACCGTTAAAATGACGGAGTTTCTGGAGCTAGTATTGCCTAAAATACTTAATTAAAATTACATTTATCCAAAATTAATGAATTTTATTTAGAAATGGGGCTTTTAAAGTCAGATTACGTGCATCTGAGCAAGTTTCATCGCATGTATGATAATGGTCAACTCGCTGGCGTGATAGTATTTTTAGTTTTACATTCCGTAAGATGATTTTACTGAAGATTTAATTTTGTTTTTAATTAAAATTAGATATTATTTTATAATCCTAAAAAGCGTTTTCTTACCTTAAATTTTTGGTGTTTTTTTCTTGATACTTGGTATAAATTTTCTTGTTGTACTTTTTATTTTCTACTTAATAAAACGATATGTCTTATTTCATATAAGTCTTTATTTCATTTCCTAATATTACTCTTGCAAATGAAAATGTACTTTTAGAATTATTGAATATGTATTTATATACTTAATTATCAATATATTTTGTTTTTATTGTAATTTTGATGTATTTTTTCTTTCTTTAATGTTAGTTGGCTGGAGTGGCATTACTTGCTCTATCAATATGGATGTATGTAGACACTGCATCATACCTTGTAACTGACCACAATGACAAATTCTTTGTGTCAATTTACATTTTGATGGCTGCTGGATCGTTAATGACCTTGATTGGCTTCTTAGGTTGTTGTGGAGCAATGCAAGAAAGTTCATGCATGCTGGGCACAGTAAGTTTTAGTTGTGATTGATTATTTATCTAAATTTTTTCATAAGATAATTTAAATTTTTAATCTTCATAAAATGTTAATCATTATATATATTTCGTATTCTGCCTTAAAATCGCTACTAATACTTAAGTATTCGATAGCTATTACTATTTTTATCACTATGTCATTATGAATCACTATATAACTGTATAGCTGTAAATATTGACTAATAAGTAATAAATACTGAACTAAAAATAAAACATGTTGTGTTATTATGAAGAATTCAAAAACGAAAAGAATAATTCATAATAGTACATTGCATATTTTTTTATGTACTTACCATACATTTACATGTGAAACATGAGTTCAAAATATAGCTATAAATCAGTGGTCAGAAAGATTGCATTTTTTTTTGTAACCAACTACAACTGCTTTACTAAAAATGTAATTAACTACAACTGAGTTTTTTAAAAGTATTGAGTACAAACTACATTTGAAATGTTGTCACTTCTTAAGTAGATGCTATACCATGAGAGAAACCCGCCACGGCAAATTTTCTTACACATCCATAAGTAATTTAAATACTTAAGTTTAGAAAAAGCAAGTTTAGATATACCTCAAAAAAGCCATAAAGTTTCACATTCTGAAATTTTTTTTCAAAAATTCAAGCAAATTATGAAAGAATCAATTAGGATTACATTGTGTGAAAATCCTTTTCCTATAGTCTCTCAGTGGACTGATGATAAAGACACTGTTCCCAATAGAACACTGAAGTCAAGCATCACTTTCTACAGTCAGTAATAGGGTGAGTGACTGTTTGATCAGCCTGCGTACGGACCGAGGATGTGTGGTGCTCCTGTTCTATCGTAAATAATCAACTTTGCTCTCTGGTCATCGGGCTACCAAAGCAAGGAAGCTATCCCCTCTGCAAAGGATCAACCCTACTTTGCTGATTAATGTTTTATTTTGCAGATAGTGTGTAAAGCAAAATTTAAATGTTTGACTTTGAATAATAGCCTTCTCAATGTTAGTCCTGGCCTTTTCCTAATTTTATACTGGTGGCTTTCTTCACCAGAATACAGGTTTTCACTATGTTATTCAATAGGAAAGTTGTGGATTACTTGAAGATTTTAGTAAAAATGTGCCGAGAGACTCTATGCTTGAGGAGTTAATAATGCTTGAAAATATAAGTTTGAGCAGGATGAATTTTGAATTAAATATGCCATTAATTGTTACATTGTTTGAATAACTTATTTTATTTAGTTCTATCAATAATGTTTTAAATTTTATTACAGTTTTCAACATTTGTTATATTGATTTTTGCTGCAGAAATTGCTGGTGCTGTTTATGGTTATTCCCACAAAGACGAAGTATGAGAATTTTTTTTAATTTATGTTCATTCTGTAAAAAATTTACTCTATTTATCAGATTTCTATCTACCTTATGTAGTTTGAGAGTCTAAACTTAAATACTTTAATTAATCATGTCAGATAGACACAGAAAACAACCAGAATCAGACGCAAAAAACATATTATCTTTGCACAAGCATTAAATTTTTGGATTCAAATAAATAGCTCAAAAGCTATTGTGAAATAGTGAAAATTAAGGGATCCAAACTTTCGACTGATGTTTTAATGAACATTAAAATAACATTGCATCTATGGAGTAGGAAATGTGACTTTATGCACCAGTTGTTATAGTGGAAGGATATCTAAAATTTTTAATTATTGAATAAAAATTTGTTTGCTGAATAATTATAAATTATTCTTTTCTAAGTTATGTAATTTTTAATATAAAGGTGGGAAGTTGTGCATTTACCATTTGTGTACTGCAAATTGTGCATCCCCGATGTCGACTTATTAATTTTCAACTATTGAACTGCCTTAGTAAATTTGTATTATGTTTTACTTCTTTATTTATTGAGTGTTATAGAGAAAACCTTGATTGATTTTGTGTGATAACTACCTTGAATAAAATTTGTTATCAACAGTTAAAGTATTAGGTATAATTATTACATACAGTAGGGAACCGATTATCCGGAACGATCGGGACCATCGCTATTCCGGATAACTGATTTTTCCGGTTTTCTGAATCGCCACAAAAAGCCATTTTTTTTTATTGTTAAACCCAACTAAAAAAATTTTTTTTTTGGAAATAATCTTAAAAAGAAGAAAAAACGATGGAGTAATACACTAATGATTATTTCCAAAATGATGGTAAGGTAAACATCTTTCAGAAAAGAAAGAAAAATTCTAAAATCTTATGAGGAAAAAAATTTTTTTTTTAAAAAAATGGCGGGAAAATTTATTGAACTTCGTTCCGGTTTTTTGGTTTTCCGGTTTTCTGATTTCCGGATAACGGGTTCTCTACTGTATATTAAAAATTTTTCTTGCTCTAATCATGTTATTGGATTATTTTTATTTAACGTACTTTACTTAAATATTCAATTTGTTAAGGTTCTTGATTGTTGCTAATGTTTTTCACTATTACAGGTTCAAACAGCTATTTCCAAGACTGTGACCAACATGGTAAAAAATGAATACAGTGTCCAAGATGCTGTAACTTTGGCTGTTGATGCAATGCAACAAAAAGTAACTTATATTACAAGTTTCTCTTAAATTTTTTTCTCCATAAGTTATCCGTAAAATTATTATAAAACCTTCTCTAACTACATAAACAGTTTTGTAAATTTATACAGACAATATATGGTTCAAATAAAGCTGAAAAACATTAAAAAAGCAAAAATAATATCCCACAGACAGACATATGATTTTGATGGTACTCTAACATACTTTTTTCTGTGTCGAATCATAGAATTCTACTAAAAAATAGGATTAAGTGTTAAGGCTGGACTCTTGTTCACCATATATTCCTGTTTTTTCCCTTTTGTTGACAAACAAGAAATTACACTAATTTGTAATTTCTTATTAGTCTACGTCTCTGTGCTTTTTCCCTTTCATTCTACAATTTTACTTAGAAGAAGGTTCTTAATAATAGTACCAAAACAATCTTGTATTTGCTTTTGTAGGGATAGATTGAGATACTTCGGAAGAGGGTGGGCGTGTATTAAAATAAATAATTGATTAATATTAAAATATAAGTTATGGAAAACATTTGAAACTCAAGATCTATTTAAAATTGTTTACAATTGTAAAAATGATGCAATATATGTAGAATTCGTTAGCTTCATTTAGAAGTTTTGTAATTTTAAAATTGCTTAGAATTATTCAATTTTCAAAATAAGGACTGGGTATATTGTATGAACCAAGAGAAGTGGGTGTTAGTATCTAGGAATTTACAGATGGTTATGCTGTGACTTTTGACCTACTTGCTCCCTTATGGTCAGCTGGAACAAAAATATTTTTTTCTCCTCTGTGAAGGATAACAAATGAAGCAGATGAACGATAAAATAAAATTTTATTACAAATCGTTTGAATACAATTCTTTTACTAAAAAGCAAAGATTCAAAACGAAATATCAAATGTTTTTTTAAAAAATGTTTTTTCGACAGAAAGTAACAGAGCCGGAGGGTGGCAGTTGAGAAAGCTCAATGGGACATGTCTCGTTTTGTCAGTCCAACCCTATGTTTATGTGACACCATTTATGCTCTCTTCATTTATTTTTACTTTTTTCATACCATAATGTAAATATTTTCTTTATTTCAAAAAATGATTCCTATGTTTTCAGTGCAAATGTATTAGTAATTTTATTGAAATATTGATTGAATAATAATGTTTCGTAAATAATAGTTTGTCATTATTTTAGCTGAAATGTTGTGGTGCTAATGGAATAAGTGACTGGTCTGAATCAAGCTTTAATAATAAGCAAAAGGAGACTGGCTCCTTACTGCCATCATTAACAGATAGTGGATATAAAGTCCCTAATTCTTGCTGTATCAGTGAGAACTTGTCTTGTGATGCGGCTACCACAATAACTCAATTCAATGTATTTTCAAGTAGTCTTCACTCTGAGGTATTAAGAAATACCTTTGTCTTTTCCTTAATTAGTTAAATTAATGCTGATTATAATGGTGTATAATGTCAGCTGTTTGACAACACCTATTCTTGGAGAATCAGGGCAAAATTAACTGTACTATCAGACACAGGGTGACTAAATATATCAATTGAAATAATTATTTGCCCCAATCGCTGCTTAATCACCACTTTGCCATCAAAAATGCATAATATGTGGGTTAAATAAATATGAAAAAATTATAAATATTTAATATTAACATTATTATAAATATGTATTATAATATAAATATTACTGTAAAGATTTCCACATGATTTTTTAAAATCCCAATATTATAATGATACGGGAAATTCAAATCTTTGCTCCTGTGTATTTACTGTTCGTCGCAATAATTCTATAGTTTTTTTTCTATAAAATTTTGGTCGTCAGTTAGTGCTATTTTTTGTACATTATTTATTACAACACGTGAATTTCAAAACGTATATTTAATTTATCCATTTTGACGCACCCAAATCATCAGTTTTCGTTGCAAATACACATGGCTTTTATCTTCACTCTTTTTTTTTCTGTTGCTGCAGTGAATTTCACAGTTTATTTTTAAATTTTTTTTTTGTGTGATGACGACGTAGAAAGCAGGGCAATTCCATATGTGACGGAATGACATTTTGACTTGCAAAATAACAATTAAATTGAAGTTTCTATGTATCTAATTTCAAATAAAAAAAACTTTTTCTCATGCATATCATTATTATTGGCATAATTCGCTTCATAAACTAAAAAAACAGGATTTTCTATCTTTTTTACTTTTAATTTTACGAACTTTTTATTTGCGTGACGGAATGACATTTTGGCAACCAAGATTTTGGCATGCTGCTTAGAACTGGTAGTTTCTGCGAATTTTGCAGCAATTATTTTTTTGAACTATTTTGTACTTTTAGTATAATGTGTAAGCAATGTAAAATGTGAATTTGGAAAATTAACCTCAGGTTGGCTAGCAGTTATCAACATCTATTTGCTGTGACGGAATGACCGTGACGGAATGACAAAAAGTTTAGTAGAAGAAAGTCTTCATTTAAAAAATGTTTTATTAATATGTAAATGATAATCAGAATGTAACAGATAAACAGAATTAATATTTATGTAAGAATTAGTAAAAATTTCAACAGTTTGAAAGTTAGGCTGTCTTTGAAGAGGTTTTATATCTAACTTGCCAATGTCACATCTTATCTTCGTTCTCAGGAAATTTATGCATTATTAAGACATGTGACGGTATGACGTAAAAGAAGTTACTTTTATTTTATATATTAAACTTAAAATGATAATGTTTTAAATATTTAAATTTTGTACTATATCCATATTTTTATCAAAATATTGCAAAAGAAAGATACATTTCTTTTATTTTATAAGTATTTTTCAAGAAAACAATTTGAGCACAAATGTGAACAATTCACTTGTCAGCGATGTGATTACTTTAGAATGCTGCCAGATTCAAAAAATTTTAAATTATCAAAAATAAAACGGCAACATGTAGACTTTGGCTATTTTTGAACATATTTTTAAAATTAAAATATGCAATTCATAAAAAAAAAATTTAACTTAAAAGTTGACACTTCCGTGGAATTGCCCAGCATGAAAATGGAGGAATGTGTCATTTCTTTCAGTATATATGTTCTTAATCCATATGAATGTAAAAAACTCCTTTTCCATGTACAAAAAGAAAAAAAAGTACTAAAAAAAACTATACGTTGAAAAAATATACCAGAAATTTTCTTCTAAATCCAGTAACATCTGAAAATGCTTCAAAATAAATGCCTTACATAATTAATATTAAGTGTTTTTATTAGTTTAATATTTTCAAATTTTTAAAAAGCTCTCTTTACTGTGTTTTTTTGATTAACTCGTGGACTGAAATATGTCATCGAAATCAGAAAGGAATTTGCTAAGCTGAAGAGATCAAAATAAATTGAAAATTTATAATTGTTCGCTTAAACCGTGTTTGCTTGTCAAGAAATCAGGTGGTTAAAGAACTATTGCTGTTTGTAAAATGATGTTTTTTTTTAATTTTATGTTATAACCTCCTGATTTATGAATGAAAAATTTACTTAATGAATGAATGTATGTTAATAAAATTATTTTTTTATTAATTTCTTTTTTCAATTATAAATCTTTTTAGAAAATTAATGTGTTTTACAAATTATTTTTAAATGAAAAATTTAAATACTGAACAAATTAATATACTTTTTGTTACATTAGTTAGTTTTATTGACTTGCTAAAATTTAGCATGATCATCGGCTATATACATTGTTATTTTAAAATAGTTTATTTGTGTGTTAATTTAATGTTTGTAATCCATTTTGATGTTTATATAAATGGCTTTAAATTCTTTAGGGCTGTTTATCAAGAATATCTGAGAAAATTGAGAAACATCTCTTTACTCTAATTGTGGCTGGAATCAGCATAGCAGTTATTCAGGTAAGAGGAGAATTAATTTCCAATCGTGTGGATTAATTTTATGTGCCATTATTTGTTATTTTACATTGGTATTGCTAACTGTAATTATTCTACACCCATTTTAAACTATCAAACTTGTATGTATTTTAATGTAGCATTATAACAATTTGTCTTCTTTGTGAAAATATCAGCATAGTATTATGTTGATATTTTCTATATTAATACTTTCTAAATTAATACTTTCTTTATTAATACTTTAATACCAATGGCTAATTTTAAAAATGTAATAAATGTGTATCTTGTAATATTTACTTATTATCAAGCCTGTTGGTTGCGTTATTCAATCGTGATAGCATGTCCATTGATTGTGTAGTAATTTTCCAAATTTTCCTTTTTTATATATTTATTAAACATAACGATAGGAACACTAAACATAAACACAAAATAAACATAAAATTTTCCTGATTATGCATTATATATTCAAATCGGATTTTTCCGATTCCACGAGATGTTTATCTCGCCAGTACAAGTTTCATTCTGATTGAATTCTCCCTCGGTTAGGGAAGACGCCTAGTAGAAATCCCTTTTGTGGGGATTTAACCTTATTCGTGGCTTGAGTTGCCACATATCTGTTTACTGGTATTTAATTTTATTGAAAAATTAAGCACTGGTATCATATTCTGTCAGTCAGATATTTCTAGTTTAAAGACATCTATTTTGAGTTGAAATAATCCAAAATTGAATATCTCAACACAGATATTTAGGGTAATTGTATAAAGTTATAGAACTGGGGTTCTATCTCTAGTTGCAATTTAAAGCCTATCCAGCTTCAGATTGATTGGTACCAGCTTATCTGGGAAATAAATGTGGCCTGTGCACAATGCTGGCTACATTGCCACGATCATGTCATTGGTCAAGATATCGTGGAACCTCCATGACCCATGTTTTTCTTATTAAGTTATTTTATTTGCCAAAATGCAAGATCAGACTGAGAGTATGGAGCCCTTTAATGAACAAATTTTCAATGTTAGCATAATTGATCACCAGAATGAAGTGGTATTTATTTGTTACTCTAAAGTTATGACATACTTAATATTCTTCTAGCTTTTGCACTTGAGCAAGAAAACTAAGTATAATCAACAAGGATTTCTAACATGTGAAAATTGACATAATTCTTAACTAGTTATTGTACTTAGTAAACTTGAATTGTCACTCGTAATAAAGTCAGTAAATTTTTACTTTTTTGTTACTGAACTGTGCTCTCGTTTTATTTTTAATTTTTTAAAGTATTCAGTTTTATTGATTTCAATAATATAGAATCAAATACGCCTTAAATTCTGTGGATAAAATGTTTCATATTTATTTTTCTCATCCATATCTATGAATTGAAAGGACTTAAGAAAGTTTCTTTTGTCTTCATGAATTGATTTGGTTGTGAAAGATAAATATTATTATGTTTATCAAAGGGGTTTCGCATGGTTATTTTTTTGAACTAGACTCGGTGGAAATAGTTAAGTTAAATTATTTTTTATGCTATCAAAACACAAAATATAAAAATAATGAAAATAAATTTTTTTTTCAAAATAGAACATGTTGAATTAATGGGTTTAAATATAGTTTTTTGAAGATTGCATTGTTTGTCTTGCAAATAAGTTCAAAGGCAGTAAGGTAATGCTCATTAAACAGTGTTTCATTTTTTGATTAACCATTAGATTACACTTAATTTAATAGAATTCTTTAATATTTACAACTTGTTATTAATTTAATATTTACAATTAATTTAATATTTACAATTCATTATTATTATATAAAATCTTCTAATGTAACAAATGTGATTATTAACATATGTATTATATTAACATATAATTTTTAAATATATAGTTCAGGGGTATGTTCAGGAGAATTTTGAGCCCTTTTACCTACCTTTCACAAAACAATTTATCCTAAAAGGTGGACCTTTAACAAGATACTGGAATTAACTAGGAATATTGACCCTTTACAAAATAATTTATCTGAAAAAATGGACCTTTTACAAAAGTGGAATTATTGTGATTATGGACCTTTCTCAAAATATTTTATCTTAAAAAACAGGATTATTCCTTAAATAAAAAATTTAAAAAATTAATCATTTTAGAAAAGGACCTTTCATAAAAATATTTTTTTCAAAAATGGAGCTGAAAAATCTCATTAATTGAGCTTTGCATGTTGTAAGAGAGGGGTGTATGTAAATATGGTTAAATGAACTTATTATGTATTTAAAGGAAAAAGAGCCTTTTGTATTAACTGAGTAATTTGTTATTAAGTATTTTGAACAGTCGGAATTGTCTCAATAATACTTCAGGAAATATGATATGATTAAAAACATGACTACAGATGTATGAAAAAAAGTGAAAAAGAAGATATGGCTTTAATAAAATGGTTTTGTGCAGTGCTGCTTTCTCCTATAGAAAGCCATCACGATGACATATTTGTCACCATATGTGTTATACCTATAATAACTGCAAAATAATAGCATAGCACAGAAACAAAGATTTACTACATGATTAAAATTTACACATATATACCTGTGCATTGTAAATAAATAATTAAAAAAAAAAGACCAACTTTGGTTTTAGGAGAACCCTGATTCAATCGCAGAGTTTGTAGTTCTGATATTTCTTATAAAAATATTTTGTCATTATTTGACCTGGTTTTTAGCTGTTTCTTTTAATAACTATGATTTTTGTGTGTTTAGAACATCATACTTTTTATGCTAATATAAAAATTTTATGATTGGGCTAATACTACTAGTTTAAATTCAGATTTAAAATGTAATTTATTTGAAGAAACAAAATATTAAAATTTAGTATCTAACATCTTTTTACTTTTGTTAAGTTGTTAGTAAAAATTAGGAAATTCAACTTAGAGACTCAACAATTCAAATTTTCAGGCATGTGGCGGTATCCACAGAATTTATTGTTTAAATTTTTTTAAATTCAGTTATTTTATGAAAAATATTATCAAATTTTAAGGTGATATCTTCTGAGGTCATGTGCTTATTTATTATTTTGAGCAAATGTAGTAATATATATTGTAGAGCCGAGATTTTAAAAAAAATGGTCAATTCCAATCAATTTGAAATTTTTAATAAAATTGAATTAAATGTGAAATTTTTTAATAACCCATTGAAATTTTTAGTGGCAAATTGTGGGATTATCCAAAAAATTAGTTTGGTACAAAAATGTTAAGCAGCATAATAGCTAGAAAAAAATGTGAATAAATGTGAAATGAAAGCACAAATAAAAGTATCGAAAAGTACATACTCTAGTTTTGATTCCATGAATAAGAACCTTCTACGGTGTCTAAACGTCAAATGATGATTGAAAAAAAAATACAAGTCAGTCCCATTAATGGTGGTTTAAACAGATTGGGCTGATACTACTAAAATAGTAAAAGAAGGGAGATGGAAAAATAAAAAACTGTTGTGAGAGAGCTCTCTTTTCATTTGGAGATTATTGAAACTCTACCTTAAAATTATTTGATTGAAGAAGTCTTAAACTCAGTTAAAAATTTTAATTAAAAAATTGGTATGAATGAATATTAATTAATTGATGCTAGTTATTTTTATATGGTTTTTAAACTATTATGAGTTGTTCTGTGCTTTTTTTTTAACAAAATCATGCCAGAAATCGTAAAACTTTCTGTTCTAAATAAATGAATTTTGAAATTAAAAATAGTATGTTTTATTATGCTTTCGCAATAAAATTTGCCTTTATCATATTTATTCTACTTTTTTTTTGTCTGTCATTTGCCTTTTTTAAAAGTACTCCGGTACATGTATACTGTGCTGATAAATGTACTGATTTTTTTTAAAAAATATTCTGATTTTTACTTTGGCTCACTACTAGGCATGTAATTGCCTCCATCCCTACTTATGGCTATGTTACAAAAATTCAAAATGTGTAACTAAGTTAATATATTAATGGAATTATTTTTCTTTGCATTGGCAGAATTTGCTGTCAAATTGTTACAAGTTGAATAAACACCCTTATATTATTAATTTCTTTTTATTTATTTTTTCTAGATCTTTGGATTTGTGTTTTCATTGGTTTTGTGCTGTGCTGTATCTGGACGGGATTATTAAAAATCTGTGAAGTACGGAAAGTCTTTCTAAACTTAAATAATGCTTTAAATATGTTCACATGTAAATATTTTTGAAAAACTAAAATTTAATTATATTTTTGTTAAAATATTTTACAGTGACGCATACAAACAAATTGAAATATTAACCAATTTTTTTTAAAAATTACGTTAAATTTTGTTGTATTTTTTTTTTTTTTTTGTCTTTTTTTTCCTGATGATCAGTACAATTTTAAAGCTAATTTTTTAAAATGTGACAGTATTTTTAAAACAAAATTAAAACCAATGCCAAAACAATTAAATTTTATTAATGTTTTCTTCTTCAGTTTTTGAATTGAAATAATTTTTAGTTTTAATCATTCAAAATTTGAATTTATTTATTTGAATATTCTAAAGTATAAAATTATTTAGAATGATGAATAATTTTTAAATTTTTATAATTACAATAATTAACTTTAAATTGCACATTGTCTACCACTTCAACTAAATTTTGCAAGAAATCTTAGCAATCTTTTTGACATGCTTTTAAGTTTATAGTCTTTTAGATACTGTCTGTGATGTCTGTTAACTTATATTTATCTACATTCTTTGCTTTCATTTTTAGCTTTCAGCACATAATTGTAAACCATGATTGTAATTGCTGTCAAATTATTTTAAGTAGAATAATAATGTGAAATACAGTAAAGCGCTTGATTATCAACAAACATTTCATCACTATTACAGCTGACGTTACCCGAGAAATCTATAAAATCTGACTGCTAAGAGATAAAAAATAATTATTGCAATGATTTTTTAAATGGTATTGTTTTGGTATTAATTTTAGAAATTTAAAACTCTAAGTTTTTTTAAAATTTTGTCAGATTTACTACCTATTTTGTGTAATTTTACTCATAGTTATATGTTTAGACACTTAAAAAGGTCATTGTATTTTATGATGAATTAGATTTTTTGACATGTTCCTGGTCTTGAGGGTGTCCGATGATCAGAGTTCTACTGTACATTTAAATTTATTCTATGTGACATTTTAAAGTGTATTTTATAAATTTCTAAAATATATATCTTTCTCTACAAAGACTAAATAGTATGTCTGATAATTCTTAAGACTTATCTAAATTATCTGTGAATAAAATTGCAAATGTTTATTTTTATTATACTCAAGAATAAAGGCTGAAAATATGTATTATGCTGCTCAGTTTTAAAATGTCTGATTTTATTTTCTACAAAAAATGTATAAAATGTCACTCTGCTGTATTTTTGCTTAAATGTGCCTTATTAAATTTACATTATATCAAAGGACAGCTATTGTAATGTCTCAATCATGCTCTTGATAATACAAATGTATTTCCTTACTGCATTTTTATTATTATATTTTATTTGTAAATATTAACATAATTCATTTATCTGTAATGGTCGCCTGGTATATGTATAATTTATTAGGCAATCATGCAGACTTTTCATCTTTTTTGGGGTTTCAACTTGCATTTTTTGTGTGCATCTTATGGTATATTTGAGCATGTACATTCTTTCCATTGTGTGTTTTTTTTCTCTGTATTTTTTAACGTAATAAATAAAAAATTCAAAAAGTATCTTGAAACAGTTTTTATGTTTGTGCAATGTTTTATTTGGAGAAGTAAACATTATAGTTTATTATGTTTTTTGAAATTTTTTTTTTTTATCTCTACTACCCATAAGGCTTCATGTGTGTAGCTTTATTATTTTTTTGGGGGTTAGAAGTTAATCCAGGGAAAGCAAATTCTGCGTGCTTCAGTTTGGAAATTATTTATTTATTTAAGTATAATAAAAATTTTTATTAAATGGGAATAAGCAGATGATTGTCGGTAAAAAATAATAATAAGCACCAAAACACTTATTCTTTGTTTTGGTGTATTTATCAATTTAAGATGCATTCTCAGTAAAGTTATAAAATTAAACAAGCTTATTAAGTTTGTTATGATTTTTATGTAGTTTTTCACACTGAATCAGTTGAGGTTAACTTTGAGACTATTGAGCTTATTGTTTCTAAGATACAAGGATTTTATGTAAAACAAATGCAATTTGTAGCTACTAACCTAATAGGTGTTGCTATCTAAACAAGTGAAGCTATGTTCCATGCCTATTTTTTATTGCTGTATCGAATTAAACTTCTTAAGTACGTGTTTTACATTTCTTTCTAGTGGCTATTTAGATATGTAAGATATATTTTTGATGTAATTTTTTATGTTTATTTGAATGAAACAATTCTCGAATCGGTAGGATCAATACAAAAATATATTGAAAATTATACCTCACTTGCTTGTATAGCAATTTAAGATACGTAAATAAAGGTATGGTTATAAAATAGTAATTTTAGTTCTTATAATCCTTGTAACTTCTAAACTATTAGTCTGATTGTCTTGTGTTCGGTTTAACGTAAAAAAATTACATCGGGAATAGAGTCTCATTTGTCTAAGCAATCATTAGATAGCAGTTTAAAAAGAGTACATGAGTACAAGCAAACAGTAATATTTTTGTTAATTTTAAGTCTGTGTAAAAAATACATAGGAAGCAATCATAGATCTAAAAATATATACAAGTTTGAGCATTAATTCCTTATAAATTCTAAATACAGTACACTCTTGATTATCCGTGCGCGGATTATCCATGCTCATTCCGGAGTCACACAAAAAATATAAAGAGAAACTTTTTCAGGCTTAAAAAAATTTGATTCATGAAGTTATAACAGTACCAAATTTTTGGAAAGCAATATTCGCTATTGGATTGCAGTATATGGAACAAATCGTCTATGTTATCACGATCGTGGAGAAAGATGGTACCGCTTGATGAACAATCCTCTTCAGATGTTCAAGAAAAATATGATAACAGTATTCTCGAACAAGCAAAAGAAATCTAAGGTTTCGAAATTCTTTATGAAGAAAATTTAGAAGATTGGTTTCAAAGTGATGCATGTGAGCCTGGCTTCCAGTATTCGACTGATGAAGACATCGTTATGTTGTTAAATCAAATAGTGATGATAGTAACTGATGCCGAAGATGTAGTAAATGAATGAAATATAATTTCTCATTCTGCTGCTCTGTGGAAACTTTATTAGATTATATGGGAGGATTTGATTACGGTGACATTACTGCGGTTCGTAAAATATGTGTATCGATGTATGGCGATGACGCATTACACATTTTTTAATAAGGAAAATTCCTAGTTTGATGTTATGCATGCAAATGTCAGTAAATTTTATATTTTTTGTACTGATATTGAATTTTTCTTTAATAAAAGGAGTTTTCGGATTATCCGTGTTTTTCCATTGTCCGTGCGACCTGTCCCGGTGATTAACCCGGATAATCGGGAGTGCACTGTAGTTCGATTATCTCGAGGTTGGTTTCATTCGATTCGGTTTAAAAAACTATCTTTATATTCATATGATTTGTCTAAAAAGCTGTGTGTAAGTTTTTTCCCCTTTTCCCTCCTGCCCAAAATCGACACGCAGGGTCGAGCAACTTTTTACCGTTTACTATGAAGAGGGTACTCGATAGTTTGCTTCAGTTTGAACTTCTTTTTTTTGGGGATCTCCAGATTTTTCAATTTTTGAGCTGTTTCTACTGTACTATTAGCAGTTTAGCATGATGTATATAGGTTATCATGTTCGAGAAGTCTCTCTTGAAAAATGTCAAATAATCAATATAATTTGTGTTAAAATGGTTCACTGTTAAATATAAAGTATATTTAATTCGTATAAATGTTGTTAAAACTCATAAAAAATAATTGCTTCACATTTTTTTTAATCCGAAGTACAAAAAGTTATTACATCATTCTGAAGTTTTACCCAAGTTCATTAAACCTATGTCTGGAAGGAGATTAGCACTGTTAGATGTAAAACTAATAACTATAACTCTTATTGATTTACATTGGTACATAATTTATTCGAAAATTAATACAGGATTTAAGACTTTTTAAAAATATTTCTTTTGAAATAAACTTTCCAATGATGTGTCATAGTTCTTTCCGATTTAAAATTTGCTCCCCATTTTATTTTACAAACCGGGGGGGGGGGGGGGGGAATNGGGGGGGGGGGGGGGGTACATTTTTAGCATATTAAAAATTAAGTTTTTTTATTTAAAAAAAGGTTGAATACATTTATTTTAGTCTTTTGGTTTGATTTTGATCCTGCGGTGAGGTTGACATGATATACACACCAAACATTTGTCATTTTAATTTTGAGAATAAACGACTGATGTTCAAATTTTGGTAAGTGTTCTAGTTCATATCCTGTTATGTAAAATGTATTGAATGTGTAAATGAATGTCAGTTTTTGTTTGAATTGAGGAAACCCTAACATAAATTATATTATTATGGTATTATACCTGTACGAAAATTTAAATAATTTAACTTTTGCCAATGAAAAAAATGTAGTCATTCAGTAAATAATTTCCTTGTTAATGTTGAAACAGTTCAAATGATCAAGAACATTTCTGATGTGTAATAATTTTATTATGATAGGTGTTTTTAACTAATTATAAAATGAATCTATAAATGGTTAAAAAAATATATGATATGAATATAGTTTAAGCATACAAGATTTAATTGTACAAAGTGTAGAATGTAATTCATGAAAGGAGAGGAAACACGATCATAATTAAAAACAATAACATGAACAAGAAACATGAAACAAGCAAAAAAGAAAAAAAAAATCTGCACAATTTCTAAGTCTAAGCAACGAAGATGACTGTTTTTAGAGAAAGCCTTTCAAATCTGCATGTCTATAGCTTCTGAGCTTTCCCCAAATTATGAATTTAAGTGATAGGAAAAGATAGCAACTAATTACTACACAACATCTTAGACTACTAAATTAATGTAACAAGTTCACTAACAACAAAAATAAGCAAAATTTTAAATTGATTCAAAGCATATGAATGAAATTGGAGAAAGCTGTACACAGTACATACAAACATAAATTATTATTAAAGAGAAAAAAAAAACATAGGCAAGAAAAATATTTCAGAACGCAACATAAGTAAATGTCTCAACTTTAACACTAATCTACAATAGCTGTTTGATTTTGTTAAAAGTGAGTGTGAAAATAAGTAAAACTTCCAAAATATGTATTTTAGAAAATTTTCCAAATTACGTAAAAGTTATCAATAACTTTAACAATCTCTTTATTAATTGATGAAAATCAGTCGCGAATTAATGAAAATTTTAATATTAATGTTTAATTTTAAAGAATGTCCTTAATGATCAAAATAAGGTATTTTTCCTAAAAACTGTTACATTTAAGTTTAATTACTACTGTTTCATTGAATTCATTAAAATGCTTTATAACCTTAAGTATTTTAATTGTTTTTCTATTTAATCATTATTAAGTTGATAACTTTTCATCATGATAAATTTCATTTAATGTTTTTGGTGAGAATGGACAACTTTGAGCAAATTAGTGATTCACTTTCCTAATATGTGACACATAAAACTAAAGTGCCGAATAATAAATCCTTTTTCTTATATTTCAATTAATAGAATAATTAGATGCCATATCATCAGTTGGTAAGTGCACCTACTTCTATAAGCTGCTTCAGAATAATAAGCCAAATAGAAAAGACAAAGTAAGCATAAAAAAGGAATTACAAAAACATGTTGGAACATGGGGCCACTATTGATACCCGCAGCTGCTAAAAGGGTTCGCAAATTGAACGTTTATCTGCCAGCGAAGGTGCGTCATTCCATGCAGCATCGACGCCATAAGCATTTTCAGGAGTCTGGCACGAATGTTGAGCATCTTCTGTTACATTGGTCGTAAATGTGCCTTCAGGAGTCTGACGATAAAGTTGAGCATCTTCTGTTACATTGGTCGTAAATGTGCTTTCAGGTGTATGACGATAACGTTGTGCATCTTCTGTTGTTATATTGGACGTAAATGTGTGTGCTGGAGTCTGGCAAAAACGTCGAGTATCTTCTGTTGTTGTATCGGGAGTAAATGCATTTTGAGGAGTCTGACAAAAACGTTGAACATCTTCTGTTATTGTATTGGTTATAAAAATGGAAATGCAGTATAAATAAAATTGTGTTAGATCAATTTTTGTTCATTGTCTTTGCATATCGTGCAATTTGTGACTCTTGGATAGAGTTTTGTGAAATCCCATTCTTTTGTATGCCTGTTTTGTCTTTTCATATTGATCAACTTTGAAGCATCCCATACAAAGGAAAGAATAGAAAACATATCTCTTAAGTTTTAATTTTAAACATGATATAAAACCTTATGATGCTAAAATCCATAAATCATAATGTTCGTCTTTAATTCATATTAGCATCAAGGTATGAAATTATGAAAATATAGTGAATGATTCGTTGAATGGAATATGCATGATATTGCAAATGTGATTCTGATCAAGTTTTCAATAAATTTTTATTAGTTTAGAGTTGATTATACTGTGCGGCATTCATCAATTGACTTTCAATGCTGACAGTTTCTAAACAGGTAACATGACTAGATGATATAAATGCAAGACTTTGCAATCTTAAAACGTTAGCAATAAACATTTCGTCGCTGTTTGTCTTGAAATTAATTAAAGTCTTCAAGTCATTATTCCGATTTGTCTGAAGCTCAGGTAATGTTAGAGAGATTTATATATCGTATCTGCATCCTCGTGAACGTATCATCCTGTGTACATACATTTTATTATCACATATTTATTTAAAAAGATATTCACTTTTTTTTCATGGTAAATTGTTTGCTTTCTTATTTTTTTTAATTCATTGAATCTTTTCAATTTTCTAATAATTTCATTTGCATTTTTTTACCATAAAACTCTGGCGAATATTGTTTTTTTTTTACCAATTGATGTTCTTAGATAATTTCATTCAGAAATATTCTTAAAACTCCATTGCATCATGATGATTCTTTGGAGCAGTTGAATATGTATTGGACAAAACATATTAATTAAAAAATTGACTTTTTTTTATCATAAGTGCTAAAGCCAAATCAAAATTCAGTCTATATTTTAAAAAGAATTTAAATGTAGGGTGTTTTTATTTATTGTGCTAATATTGTTTCTTTAGCTTCATTCTTAGCTTCTTTATTCACTTACTATTAAAATAACTTCACACTTCTTTACACAGGCATATTGCAAATACCATTCCAAAAATCTATTTAAAAAACAAAAATAATATTAGATTACATATCATTTTAAATCATAATAGTATTTACATTAAAATTTCTCGCATCATTATTTAATGTTATTTTTTAAGAATTTTAAATTCGACCGAAAAGTTAATTAATAGAAATTAGAAATTATCATTATTAGTTAAATGTGTATTAAGAATAAGTCGTAAGAAAATTGATAAGGAAGTGGGATAAATGAAATTAGCTACCTCGATAACTGCAACTCCGCAACCTATCGCTACAAAAATAATGCTTGTTTGCTTTATAAACTCTTCTAGCTTTGCTATGCAACCCTAAAAGTATAAAAAAAATCAAAACAATTTTATTATGAATACATTTTTTAATGATTTAATCTATACAATATCAGAAATGAAAATAATTTCTAACTGCAGTGCACACACACGAAACAGAAACAAAACAAAAAATGTTACACCTTCAAAAGAAGGTAACACTGGGGAGATTTATGACAATATTTGATCTTGCCTAATTCGGGAGTAGGGTTTTTAAATTTGAAATTATTTTTACTCCTAAAGCTACAGATTTTTCTAATAACATTTTTCGTCGAAATGTACAAGTTTAAAAACGTTATATATAACAGGGGGTTGCATAAATGTTGCGACAAACTTCTAGGGGAATCAGAGCGCATCATCATAATTAAAACTGCGTAAGAACACATGCCCAGAAATGTCATCGTGTGCCGCTAGGGACGCCTTCCTATTATGGTCTGTTTCTTCTTGTTTCTGAACAAGTCATAATAGGGAAGCGTCCCTAGCATCGTACGACAGCATTCTGACATGTGTTCTTATGCAGTTTTAATCCTGATTATGTGCCCTAATTCCCCTATACGTTTCTCACAACATTTATGCGACCTTTTGTTATCTATAGCGTTTTTAAACTAGTGCATTTTGACAAAAAGAAATGTCATGAGAAGGAAGAAAGAAAGACATCTGTAGCTTGGAGAGAGAAACCGATTGCAAATTTGAAATTGACAATACAAAAAAAGTATCTCAGATCAGTTAAAAAAAATTACCTGCTATAATCAATTTGGGCTTATTTTTTTATGCGAAAAAGTATTTTCTTTAAATAAAATTACCCTTTTTGGCCAAAGTATTCTGATACTGAGCTTTTAAAATATTGCAACAGGAATAGCCGCAATTTGAAAAATTAAGTTCCGATCGTTAAATGAAAAGGCTATTAAAAAGTTTGGGTTCTTTAATACAAGTTTTAGATTTCTCGTTTTTTTTTTTTCAAGGTTTGTGGCAACTTGCAAAATATAAGATGTATTTATAAACAAAATAAAGAATAAAAATATGATTAAAAACCAAAAATATATTTGCAAATAATTACCGTTATGTGGGGCTACTTTGTGCTTATTCGAATTTGGCACTTTTCAAGTGGTGCTATTCAGTATTATGTTTTTTTCAAGTTAAAAATATGTGAAATTTAAAGATAGAAGTCTCCTCTATTACTACAAATATCTTTTCGAATTTTAAAACAATCTCAGAGTGTGTTTTGTTTATCCAATGTCAACAACTTTCTGAGAACGTCGGATGTCGAAAAGTGTGCGTGGCAACTTTAGCTGTGAAATGCAAAGACGTTGATAAAACAATTGTCATAAGTGCAAAGTTTTTTATTTATATATTAATAAACAATTACATCATGTTAGCGTTAAAAAAAATTTAAAATTAATAACAAATAAACTGAAAATGAAAAAAAATGCACTGTGGGGCTACTTTGTGCAAAATTTCATTCGTTTTTTTTTTCGACAGAAAAATTGTCAGATGTTATAAAAAAATATCTTGAACGAGAAACTACCGTGATTACACTTTAGAAAAGCTGCAACAATGTTTGCAAGCAGTTGCTGGTGGTATGTCGATTGCAGAAGCTTCTCGGAAATACAAAATCCACAGAAATACTATCTTTAATAAAATTCACAAGAAACACGTGAAACGTGCTGGAAAACTATTATTTTTCTTCTACAAAGATTTTTCTAATGAATTAATCAAACGATTTAACAAATAAAAATATATTTTATAGGACATCAGATGATTTTGATAGAAACTGAAGAGCAAGTTCTGTCATGTTCATTCAAGCATGTTATGTTCAAATTTATCAATATTATAAATGTTAATGAATATGTAATAATTATTATTTTTGAAATTTCATCCATTTCAATGTTCAAAAATGTATATGGTTTCCTTTTGTTTAAACTCAAATGTTTTGAAATAAACATTCTTTTTAAGAAAAAATTCTATATAAAAAATGGTTTTTCAACACTGAAAATTATTTTCAAATTAATATCTTTACATATCTCGATGTTTTTGTTACTAAAAATGTCAACAATTAACTTTTTTAATAATTTTATATCAATATTTTGCTAAAAAAATGATTATTAAGCTGAATTCCTCTCGCTGCACAAAGTAGCCCTACTTAGGGGCTACTCTGTGCAAGGTATGTTTTGACTTATTATTTGTAAATATTACATACAAATAATACCAATATTGATCAAATTCACTCGTCTGAGTTCAGTTATGAATATAATATCGATAAATTTCACTAAAGATTGAATTAACATAGTTTTTTTACATGTCAAAGTTCAAAAACTGCGAAATCCTGCACAAAGTAGCCCCACATGACGGTATGGAAAAATTTGATGCAAAAATTTAATTTATTGATAAATTTCATAACAACCGAAAATTTTTTGAATCAAAAATTGAAATTTTTTGAATTGACTTATCACCATAATTAATAATTTGTCAAAAATGTTCCTAATTTAAGCACACGACCTTTTTTCAATAATCCATTATATGTATAAAATGGCAACTTAATTATTTATTTTTAGCATTTATTTGAAAAGTTAAGACTTTCGTCTCAACCGTATTGTGTTATATATTTCAATATCGATTTGAAATCATTCGATTGTAGCGTAGTCGTCGAATTATTTTAAATCGGTATAGATTCAGAAATACCGGTATAGACCGGTATTTCTGTCACAACCGGTATAGAAACAAAATATTTTAACTAATTACCATCGATCAAAGATATTTATAATTTAAATAGTTGTGTTATATCTGACCAACTGAATTCTTAAAATTAATGCGAAATTAAAGCCTATAAAATTTACACTACCCTGTATTGTGTATACATTTTTTGTGACTTTTTAATACTAAAGGTGGTAGCCAGTAATAGGAAATATCTGTTTTGTTTTAGTAATTAATAAATTACAAAATTTATATTAATTAACTTATATAACGTTTCGTTCAACTTATATTAGTTTATAAAACTTTTTTTTAATGGAAAGAAAAATTAGTTCTCGGTTTACTCATCGACATTTTAGAACATAATTTTATGCACGTAAAATTTTATTTCACAGAATTACGAAATATATTATTTCATTAAATATAAAAAAAAATACTTTTGGCAGTTAATTTGATTTAGAAATGCATCATGCAAGAATTCTATTACGAGAAATTAGTTTTTATCGTGATCATATTGTCCTACTTTATAAGCTATTAAGTTCTTCCGTAGGTTTTCTAACCAGGAAGTGCTTCATAGATGAAAAAAAGAATTCATTTAAATTAATTTTGTTTAAACTTTCAAGTATACCAGAATGGCACGAATAAATGGCATAGGAAGAAAATACTATTCATGCTGCTATGCATGTTGTTTTTTGCTATGCATATTGCTTTATATTATCAGTTACGCAGTAATGGTTCGCAAGTTTGTACAAAATTTAAAATATATTTCTAAATTTTTTCTTCCAATATTGCGTAATTTATTTATACTTTATAACATTAAGGAACAGTAACCTTAAGTAAATAACGCGTGTCTTCCTTTTTATATCTGTTTTAAAGCAATGATATAATAAAGGAATAACCTTTGTCAGCGGCACCCAATTCCCCCCCCCCCTATGGAACCCTAAATAATCGACATCAACGTTCTTTTGGCGGCATTATAAATGAAAAAAAAAGTCATTAGCAGCTGTGTATATACTAAAAAAAGATAAGAAAAAAGAAAAGAGACAAGAAAGACGGAGAAAGACTTTAACTTTAAGTCTATCCATTCAGTGCTATTTGTAGTTATGAGTACTAAAACTTTCCTATAATTTTGGTCAGTTTAATTATCTCTTACAAACAATAACAGGAATTTCAACAACGTAAAGGTTTTTATGTTTTATCGAAAGGTTAAATAAGCACATAATAATTTTGACCGGATGAAGAACAGACGGAATTTTGCAAAAAAAGAGGTTATATTCACCCCTAAATGGCACATGATTATGTTTGATATTTTCGATAATACATCGAAGTAGGAATAATGCCTAAACCTATAACTTAGCTACTAAAAAAATTAGTTTTCATTAGTCATTATTATTTTAAGTCATTATTTTAGTACCTTTGTTCTTATTTTCGAAAATAGCAATAGCTTAAATTTTAAGATGAATTCATAAAGTTCTAATTGTTGCCATAAGTGCCAAAACTGTCACATAATTTTGGTCAGTTAAACTACCTCTTACAAACAATAACAGGAATTTTAACTGCGTAAAGATTTTGATGTTTTATCGAAAGGTTAAATAAGCACATAATAATTTTGACCGGATGAAGAACAGACGGAATTTTACAAAAAAATAGGTTATATTCACCCCTAAATGGCGCATGATTATGTCTGTCATCAGAATAATGCCTAAACCTATAACTTAGCCATTAAAACGAATTTTAGTCACATTGTTCGTGGAACAAAGAGCTGAAGAATTTTTTTTTCTCCCTATAGAGTTCGAAATTGATTCTCTAACTGAACAGCTACACTCATGAGACGTTATTCTTGAATGCCACAAAGGTAGCAGTTATTCTTTGAAGTTTGGGACGATTTTCCATCAATGATTGTTAGTGAGTTGAATTTGATGCAGTGCATAAAGAGTTATTGAAACTTAGTGCACATTGTTCCTAATTACTATGAAGCCTATTTGAAATGCAGGATTCGATTATTATCTTATGTATACTGATGATATGGGTAAGTTTTTGATGATAAATTTTATTCTTATAAAATAGGATAAAATGTTCTTATAATTACTTTAAGTTTTAAGCATAGTTCAACTTGTTTAAAAGCAAACAATTGTTCTTAAAAGAAAACAGGGTCATATTTTAAAAAAATAAATAAATAATAAATATCTTTTTTTGAAATAATGGGATATGCTATAGTCTTATAATTAAAAAAAACACAGAACAGTCTTATCAGTAAAACTTAAAAATATTCTTTCCATTTTTTTCTTCAAATGTTAGTTACGAATTAAATTTACAGCTAATTAACTTACGTTAGTTACAAATTTAAGTTGCTTTTTTTCCAGCTTATTTTGTAATGATTTTTGTTCCTTGAAAAGATGTAAGCAAAATAAGAATGAAGCAAATTTTAAATATAAGCTAATCCTATTTTTTATAGTATTCATATAATTCATGATAATTATCGATAATGAAATGATCGGCACTCTGGAGGCCACTATTATTTACTGATCAGGAAATTTTTAAAGTGTATCTTTTATACAACCAGATTATACAAAATATTTAATGTAATTATCACTATAAGTTAATCACTAATAATTTACTATAAGTTAATCAATGGCAATATATAAAATTGCAGCTTAAAAATACTTATTGACTGCATAAATCTTTTTTTTAATCTTCATAAAAAAACTATAATGAATAAAGTAAATCTATTATAATAAAGAAAGCAAAATTGGAATAGATAAAGAAGATTTTTATTATTATTATACCTCGTGATGGCGAAATAAATTGTTTTCTGTTGCTTTTTCTGACTGACACCAGCTACTATTCACGGGCTTTGGATCTAAATGATCATCGTTAGACAAAATGCAGCAAGTCTTGGATACGCTGTCACCTTTGCCTAAATTTTGAACTTTCCAAGTGCTTTCTTCATAATCCTCTGGTCCGAAAATTCCACAGCAGTTAAACTATTAATAAATGGATTAAAGAGATATTCATTAAATAAAAAAGGAATGAGATAATTAGTAAACAGTTTTTCTGTTATAATTTACATTTTACGCACATTTAAAATATATTTTTCATAATTTTGGTTTTCTAAGGTATAGTTCTTATAACCGCACATTTAGTAAAAAGTACAAAATTGAAAAGTAAATTTTATCTAATAAATGGTTTCTATGCCATGCTCTAAATAGTCAAGATAAATTAAACAATTTTACCTCGTTACTAAATTTTATCACAGATTATAAACCATACTTTATTATTACTTATTATTATTAATTTTACAAAATCTTTACCAAAGAGCTTGTATAAAAATTATAGAGTCTTGTTAGTGTTCCCATAGAGCCAGAAATTTGGTGACTTTTTTAATTTTATATTCTGGAAATTTTTTCCATATTTTTTTTCTCTCTGTATTATTGAATACAAACTGTGCTGCAATTTTCATATTTTGAAAATCCAATTTACAAATACAATGCTGAAATTGTAGTAAAATTTTTACAACATTTTAAAGAAGTGCTTTAGTTTTGGTTTTAACTAAATTGGAAATTATTGTGGTGTTGTTTCGAAAAATTTTGCTTAAAAAATACAATTAGTTGACAGCATGCTGAATTCTCTCTCGTCTAATTATGAAAACAACATATTGTTGTAAGAAAAAGAATTTCCTAATTTCATTTGCTTTTTATAAAAAATATTTTATTTTTTAATTTTCACTTGTTTTTAAGAAATGCTGGAATACTTCCACTACGTTCATAGAACACTGTAAAACAGTTAAATCAGTTATAAGTTTTGACTATCTTCACAGTATTTGACCGAAAATTACACATCATAATTTTTGCTTCATAATTAAGTTCAGATTTTCTAACAATTTCAAATTAATTTTTATTTTTATTTATTGTTTGCACTTTTTAAGATTTTTTTAAAAATATTCTTTGAATTTCAAGATTTTTAAAAACTCTTTTCAGAAAATAAAAATCTAAAAGAGCATTTTCTTTAAAATTACTTTTTCAATGAAATCTGAATTTTTGTATAAATAAGTTTCTCATTTTATTAAGATTAGTTTAACTAAAGCTTATGTCAAAATATTTAAAAAAAAAAATTTTATCAATATAATTGTAATGATGTTTTAGCGATCTTTTTACTGAAATTATGCTTATATACCAAATAAATATTTTTTAAAAAGCTCTAATCCTATTTTTTTAAAAAACTCTTTTTAAAATGTTCCTCAATGATAGCGTTTTTCAATATTACAGATATAGGGGTTCAACTACGTGATTAAATATTCAAAATCATGCATAAAGAATGTCTTTTAACAAGGCATGTTAGAACATGATAAAAAACTTAATGTTAACCTTCCTTGATGATAAAGCTTTTTTAATATAACGGATATAGAGATTCAGTTACATGATTAAATATACAAAATCATGTATATAGAATATCAACTAATGGAATGTCTTTTAATAAAGCACGCTAAAATAAGATGAAACACATGTTTGTGGCATGGAATAATTACGGGGTTGCAAATGCAAATGGACAAAATTTAAAAAGCTTTTTGTTTGCGAATTCAGCAGAAACACTGGATATCACATTAAAAGTAAAGCTTAGAGTTAAAAGATATATTTAAAAGTTTTAATCTTGTTGTAATAAATTTTAATTATAAAAGTTCAAAACAAACTGCATTTCGTTATTGTTGCTTATCCTCTTGGTTCATGTCCCTAAACCAAGTCCAAAGGATCATGTCGCATCAACAAGTCACAAACATACTGCTTTTTGCTAGAATTATAACTATTCTTAATTGTCTTTTATGCTGTAATTTCTCTTGTGGTATTTATAATGCCTTTCTTCAATGTTTCCTGCATAAAATCATAAAGACTGCTTGAAATTAGTATAAAATATTTCGATCCAGTTTGATTTTATTTCGTTTTCAAATTACGATTGGTTATGGGCACCATGCAAAGGATATTCTTCAAAAATTTCGTTGTATTTTTATTTTAGATTATTCTCAAATACTCGAAAATATTCTTTATTTAAAAAAAATCTGGTAACTTTGTTTCATCAAAACTCTGGGGAACATTCTTTTTTCTGTTGCATGAGATTTCTTTAACGGATTTTGAATATTTTCACGTCGCTGATTTCAAATCAGCAATAGGTTTTTCTCTCCATGTTAAATTTTTTTAAATGATTTGATTATTCCATTTATTGTCAAAATGTACGAAAGTTATACATAATAAGGGTTGCGTAAATGTTGCGACAAACTTTTGGGGGAGTTAAGGATCATCATCAGGATTAAAATTGCATAAGTCTCGGAAATGGCGTCATATAGTGCTCCGTGTGCTTTCTTATCGTGAACTGTTTCTTCGTGAGCTGCGATTATGATAGGAAAGCGCACCCATCTGCATTCGACAACATTTCCGGGTTCCTATGCAATTTTATTCTTGATGATTAAGTCTAACTCTTTTAGAATTTTGACGTATCATTTACGAGATCCTCTGTTTAATAGAACGTTTTTAAACTTGTTCATTTCTACTTTTTTAACACTAGATTGCCTAAGGAAGTAATTTCGACTGCTTTTAATTTCAATTAGAAAAACAATGAAGTTTATAATGACACAATTTCTTAGACCTTTGTGACTTTTTGAACAACATATAATTTTTTTAATTGTTAATAGTTACTAATAACTTGTTATATAACTGTAAATAATATAAAAAATGTTAAAAATTAATTTTAAACAAATTTATTTACGCATTCACAATCCAGTCATTTTGACTGCTTTTGGGCAATATAGGTATATACTAATTTTCCGTCTTTCTAGAGTTAAAAAAGAAACTTTAAATATAAGAGCAGAACTAATTTGAGATTTGAAATCCCCCCCCCCACTCGAATTAAGCTAGATCAAGTTTTTGTATGAATGCAATAAGAAATTTGTTCTCCAATGTAATTATTGATATTACTCATATCAAAATTAAATTAGCTAAATATAAAATTATTCAATCGTTTCTTGTTAGCATTATCGTTACCAGTAATCCTTCCGTTAGTTTAAGATAATTTATCTCTTAAACAATTAGAATTGAAATCATTTTATTAGAATTATTTGAGAACAAAACCTTCTTAAGCTAGTTGAATTATCACTTCAGTGGTCATTCGGAAACAGCCCATCAGTAAAGTATGAATGGGTTGTAAAATTTTACATTTTTGGATATCTATGACGCGTGTTCTGATATAATACTTGTTGCTAAGCAGTAATGTTCGAGAGTTATTACAAAACTTAGAAGCAACTTTCAAACACATGAATATGTTTTTGTTTTATTTTACTATTTCAGGCAAATGTCAAAAACAACAATCTATAGCCTTGAATGCATGCCTTTATTTTCCTGGTCAGGCTGTCTTATTCGTGATCGATAATTTTTCCATTTTTTTGTAGTTCTATAGCAAAAAAACTTGCGTTTTTTGGAGTGCCTATTGTTATAGAAACAAACAGAGTAGATGGCAATAAACTATAGCTTGTGAACAAGTTCACTTACTCATCGTATGTAGAAGGAAAAAAAACATAGTATTTCCAGCAAACCGGAATTTTTTCATGTATTCTAGAATATATTTAAATATTACTCGGTAAAAGCCTTATTAATTATGTATATATTTGAAACAAATTGGTTTCAGCAAGAGGGAGAAAAATTATCGTACTGAGTATTAGTGACATTTCCGGTAAGAAAAAAAAACCATAATACCGATAATAAAACCCAAAATATGCGGTATTTAAACCATTCACTTTGTAATTTTTTCGTTTATATTGTAATGGCTTACCGGTTTTAGAAATTAGAGTTTTCAATACCACACATTTTGTAGAAATAACAAAAGGAAAAGTAAGTTTAACCGAATAAATAGTTTTTGTGCCGTGTTCTAAGGTATCATGATAAAATCACTTTTATAATCACTTCTAAAATGTTTACTACACTTACTAAATTTTATCACACTTTATAAAACCTTATTTATTTATTAGTTTTAACAAAATCATTACTTAAGCACTTCAGTAACAATTACCGAGTTTTTGTGTTCCTATAGAGCCAGAAAAACGGCAAATTGTACCATTTCCCGGTAGTTTTAACCATATTTTTTACAGAAGGCATTCTCATCTTGGATAGTGGTTCCAAGGTGAGATGATTGAAACATTGTTTATGAAAAAAAATTATAACCCTACGAAGTATCATTTTAATTCATTTAATTATTTTGTTTTAATCTACAAATTATTATTTAATCCTACAAATTATTACTCTAATTTATTTAAATTGCTTGCAAATTTTTGTGATTACATTTTTTATGGTAATTTCATGATTTATAACCCCATATGCATCTGCTCAATGTAGGACTTAGGCTTATACAATTACGGCAAGTATGATCAATGAACAGGCTTTGATTTTGTTTTGGTTATGCTCTTTAGATTAGTTTTCCCTCTAGAATTATACATTTTAATCCACTCGGAGAAAAAAATTCTGGGAAAATCGCCGTACTCCATGGTGATAACATTCCTGAAAAAAAGAAAAACCTCAATTCTGGTTCGTAAAATAAAAATATTTAGTATTTGATAAACAGTATGGTAATTTTTCCGTTCATATTTTTACGGCTTATCGGAAGTTCTGGTTTTCAAAATGAAAGTTCTTATTACCGCATTTTTAGTAAAAAATACAAATCTCAAAGGTAAATTTTACCAGATGAATGTTTTTTTTTTTGCCATGCTCTAAATATATCACGAGAAAATTTACCAAATTTTTTCACATATTATAAAACCATATTTTATTGCTAATTTTCTCAAAATCATTACCAAAAACTCTACCATAAAAATTACTGCGCTTCCCGTACAACTAGAAACAGGTTAAATTTTATCATATTCTGGTAGTTTTAACCATACTTTCTTTTCCAGTGTATGCATATATTTTTTTAAATATTCATATAATAAAACTAAATGTTTTACAATTAACTAAATTCGTAATTTTATTATATACTTTTCGAATTAAAGCACGCTGGGCAATGATACTTCTGACTAAAAAAAATTAACCCAATTTTTTAATAACTAACTTCATTTTTAAAAAATTAACTTAAACACGATTTGAATTCATAAAGCTCGATATTACTATTGTTTGTAACCTTGTAGAAGAAAATCTGTATGTTTCTGCGTTAATGCTATGTTTATTATTTTTTTTTTTTGCTCTTTATATTAAGGAAAATAAAGCATTATTGGTAATAGTAATTTTCAAAATTAAGTTTGATTTGAAAACCACAAATTTGAATCTTTAATTTTTTTTTTCATTAGCTGCATTTTTTTTAAAGATCGAAGTCAAGTCAAACTATAGATAATGTCTTGCTTTTATAGCTACAGTCTCGTTTGCATGGCCAAAAGTGTTTGGAATAAATTCTTGTATGCAGGAAAATTATGTGATATTATTATATACGCGTGTAAGGAAGCCTAAAGGTGACATTTTAAGATTTTTGTTGTGATATTTTGCATAAACCGTACCTAAATATGTGAAGTGCAGCTTATGCATTTAAGTTTTAAAAAGTATTACATCTTAACTTTAAATACAATGGCTAGTAACAATATTAGGAAAAAAATTACTTAGGTTTATCCACATTTTTAATTAATGTGCATTGAGAAAGAAAAGCATAGTAAAAACTACCAGAATATGCAGAAATTTACGTAGGTTTCAGCTCTATGGGAATATCAAAAAGCTCAGTTAGTTTTACTAAAGCACTTTCGTAATATTTTTTGTAAAACTGACAATAAAATATGGTTAAATAATATGTGCTAAAATTTGGTAACTTATCATGGCATAAAAACCATTTATTCGGTTAAATTTACTTCTCAGTTTTAATTTTTTTACTAAATAGTGCGGTAATAAGAACTATAATTTTGAAAACCAGCATTTCCGGTATACCCTTACCATATGAGCGAAAAAATTTTCAAATGAATAATTTGAATACGCTATGTTTTGATTCCTTTTAACCAAAAATTATCCTCAAAGTACCGTAACTTTATCAAAATTTTTTCCTCCGTGTAAGACTTTTTATATAAATTAATGTTCGTATGCATTTGAAACTCGAAATAATCGTAATATGCAGAAGAAACAAAAATATTATACAATTTACGCTACTCAGAATCTATTGAATTTTCTAACCACTCACCGATTTCGCTCCACAACAAATTATTTTAGCTTAATTGTCTATAAAAATAAAACATTCATAAACTCATTGTACTAATGTCCAGTATTATTTTGCAATTTTCGCACATTAAATTATCTTTACAATTTACAAAGAAATTTTAACGACTAATAAAATTTAGTTTCGTATGTAAATATTTACTAAATTTACTGTTTGTATCACATCCATCCTTGTCAGCGAAAATTAAGAAAATCCCTCCCCCCCCCCCCTTTTGATGCCAAAGTAATATATATTTTAAGCTTGAATTACTCCAAAGAAGGAATTCCAGTAAAATTACTTTACTGTATTTTAATGACATTTCTGGTAAACAGAATCATAATTCTGGCAACTAAAATATACTTATTTAAACCACTCATTAAGTAATTTTTCCGCTCATATGATAACGGTTTACAGAAAATTTTCTTTTTAAAGTTATATTTTTTATTTCCACACATTTAGTAAGAAATACAAAGCTGAAAAGAAAATTTACGGTTTACGGGAAATGAATGGTTCACCGGAAATTCTGGTTTTCAAAATTAAACTTCATATTACCAAATGATAATATGCAAACAGTAAAATATGCAAAACTGAAGAAAAATTAACCGAATAAATGTTTTTCATCCCATGCACTTAGGATTCATGATAAAGTTACCAAATTTTACCACACATTATAAAATCATGTTTTATAGTTAATTTTACCAAAATTATCACGAAAGCGTTTCAATTTTTTTGTGGTTACATAGAGCCAGAAACATGTTAAAATTTACCATATTCCACTAGTTTTGACCATGCTTTTTCCCCCCAGTTTAGTAGGGACCAAAGACATCGCTAAGGTAGCTTTAAAATACGATAAAAATATACAACTATAGTGATTGTATAAAACATAAGCAACGGATAGTTCTTGCATAAAAGCACACCATTTTCACTTTCAAGAGCAAGATTGATAGCGAAGCAGATAAGCTTAAGGTGTACTGCCTATTTAAGAGCAAGTGATTATCACTGAAGCATGACGACGCACACGAGCAGTGAAGCTTCCTTTTACAACTAATAGTTATTGTTTAAATTTCATTGTCTCTTTGCTTCTTTTCTATTAACAATATCGGAAACAACGTTATTGTCAAGTTTAGAAGCATTCATTTTCTATTGAAATAAGTGGAGGTTATAAAACCATATTCAATATGTGGGTTTTAATGGGTAGTAAGATACACAACACGATCCTAGATGAACGTGAGAGATAAAGAGTCTGGTTGAGTGATGCAATATGTGTTTAGAGGCGGGATGATCCATCTCTGAACAGTGTCGGAGTTCGACAAACTTGAGTTATGAATTGCTGTTAACGTCAAAATTTATTGTAAATGAAGCCCCTGAGTTTTATAAACGGTAATTTTTCATCCCGCAGTGGACTGATCGTTAAGGCACGGTTCCCAGCAGATTACTGAAGTCAAGCATCACTGGCTGCGGTCGGTGTGCGGGTAGGTGACCACTTGGATCAGTCTGCGTAGGGACCGAGGGTGTGCGGTATTGGTCCTCGTTAAACTTTTTTACCTTAAAGTGCTCAACTTCGAGTGCAGGTCGTCGGGCAACCGAAGAGGGAGTGCCATTCCCTCTGCAGAGGATCAAAATTACGATGGCACGTCTTCGGATCATCCTCAGGGATGTTTCCCAGACCGTCGCCAAAAGTCCATTGTGCAGCTCTTGTGCGACGGAAATGAATTACAACAACAACAAGAGTAATTTTGCTTACGCACTGTAGCAATAAAGCTCTCACTTTTGAAGATTCAGCAATCCTAGAGCTATGTTTCCTTAATTTTGAGAATCATTTCGTCACAAAATCATATGATTAGTGGTGAAACGCGAACTCTGAAATATGTAACGAAAATGTTTCCTCAAATCTCAACATCATCGCGGTGCATTATTAGAGACTGTTAATTAAAATGACGAAACTAGAATGAAGACAAGACGATCGAAAATAAAGTGGCTAAATAAATTGACCGGCCAGTAGGGCGATCAACGAGTTGCCCTTGTGCCAAGTAAATCCTGGGTTCGAATCCCGTTTCGGGCATGGAAGTGATTGATCTCTCTGTTTTACATATCGTTCTTATGCTGTTGGAGTGACGTTGATCCACCTATAGTTTGTCTAAGCTAAGAACTCCTCCCACCACGAAGTCTGAGGCCGTCTGGTGCTATGGAAACAAAGATAGAGCATTTTAAAGAGGGTAGCTTCACTCTAGAACTAACACAATAGATCGAAGTAAGAGATTCCCTTTCTCTCGTCGACCCGAGTCGAAACCACTCCAAAACAGTTATCCCGCACCCCTACTTGAAATAGTCATACCTCGTTACCACAGTCACCAACACAGGTCCAGACGAATGTCAGGGGGAGTTTTTATTTTAGACATATTTTAGTTAGTGCTCACGATAAAGTGACTATTAGAAAAGTTAGTATATAAAGCACTACGAGTTTTTTTTTTTTTGCTGAAAAAATAGGATACATTAATCTTTTATTAACTTTGATGAAATTTCGTTTTCTCGATATAGTGAAAAAATGATGAAAAAATGAAACGAAGAAATGACGAAGGCTATTTCATCAATTTGATAAAATTTTTGCTCAAAGTATATAACAAGTAACAGCTATGTCAAAAACGAAGAGAATTTTCTCGATTTTGTAGTATCCAATTTTTTACAATGTGCATAAAAATTTCATAGATTCTAAAAATACAGAAAAATTTATAGGAATAAAATACAAAAATTTTCTTATTATCTTATCAAACATTTCCAGAATTAGCATATATATCTGTACTATTTTTTTTATTTTTGAACTGAATTTTTTAAATCGCTATGTGTAAATGTTTTAATTATTTAAGAATTTTACATGGATTTTAAGTGCACTAAATACTCAATACTAACTTACTTTAGTTTGAGCAAAGTCAAACGCTTCTGTTTTTTGACTGTTGATTCCATATTCATCTTTTAATACTGTAGAAAGATCTTCCAATTTACTCAAAGTCTATAAAGTAAAATAAAATGTTTCTTGAGATTGTAAAATCGTAAATTTTATTATTTCAAGTAGAGTGTTAAGTATTAAAAAGTTAGTATTTCGTCTTACCTTATCCTGGAAGATGACGCTGAGTATTCCAACTGCAAGCTCTCCACACATGACAAGAAATAAGAAAATGAAATACTGAAAGATTCAGTGAAACAAGTTTATTGTTTATAAAATTTAAAATAATCAGAAACTATCACTGCATATNCAAAAAAAACTTTTTTGCGATATCGACGCATATATAAAGTAATTTTTATCTTAGGATAATTATTCATTATTCAGAAATATCGCATTTATCGTAAAGGATGCGTCCTGATGAAGACCGTTTTCCCATTAAAAGTTTTTCTATTTTATTCTTCTTCTTTGCGTTTATTGTAGATATATATAAGCACAAGATGTAGATGAAGTCATACTAGAATGATATACAATATTTTCCAAATAAAATTTAATATAGTAAAGCTATCAGGATCATAAAAAGTTAATGATTGATTTTTAATAAATTATGTAAAAATGTTTCATATATATGTGGATCTTTTCAAGAACCGTAGATCGGAAACTAGTTATAACTTTCATATTTTTGTTGCGAAAATTTAAAGAATAAATAGTTTTGCTTAAATATTCTATCCATCTGAATGTGAACTCAATGTGTATTTTTGCTAAAAAATATTTTTCTGGGAAAATTTTATTATGCATGCACAATACATTGATGTATTAAGGCATAGTGAAAATTTAAAGTAGCACGTCAAATTTTTCAGTTAGTAATTTCGTTTAATTTAATATTATGAGTGTGTTTTTAGCAGAATGCATTGTTAGAAAGTTTTACGCTTAGTGAACTAATAATGTCATTCAAATTTGCAGCAACCTCAATGTGATACAGTTTTGCAAGAAGTACTTAAGTCGAACAACTTGCGTACTTCTTGTCAATCTTTTTAAACCAGGCTGACAATAAACACTGACAAAATTTCGACATTTTCTGACAAACTAAGAGCCACAAAAATAAAATTAAGAAAACACAATGAAAATTTAAAAAAGTTGACTATAAAAAAGAAAATGATTTTACTTTGTCAGACAATAAATGAAAAACTCAGAAAGCTCTCCATTCTGAAATTTCCCTCCACTTTATTCAAAAGTGATGCGATCCACATTTTTTGTTTTAAGACTGAGAAAAATAAAATTCTTTTCTCCTTTATAATACTCTACTTAAAAAGAATACTCCTTAATTTTTCTTTTATTATATTTAGAATCATTTTGTAGTGAAAAAGAAAAAAGAAACAGACGGAGACAGTTATTAAATTAAATCCAGTTTGGTTCTAAAGAAGGTCTTTAACTTTATATATATTTTACATTTTTTTAATGAAAAAATAGGAACACAGCAGGACTTATAATTATATTTTTTAACTATTTCCCCTAATTGCCATTTCCTTTAAATCATACAGAGCAACTCAGTGAGAGGGCCGAGAACCCAGTTAGGGGCCACTTTTCTTCCCTTCATTTCTCTTCATTATCATAATTCATTTCATTTAGTGCATACAATATAACAAAAAAAGAAATTCCTCTGTTTTGTTTAACTACGTGTTATATATAAATCCCAAAAAGAAGATTGTCTCGAAATTTTTTTCGAGACATACTGAATTTTCAGTTTTTTTATTATTTTATTTATGAAATAATATTTTAAATTGATATACAATTAATAGAAAAAAAATCATTAAGAAACATTGAGCAATGTTTTTTTTAATAACAATTATTTTAAGCAAGATGAACCTTTAACTAACAGCATTCAAGGTAAACAGGATTTTGTAATCTAAAATTTTATCGATACAGGCGTTTGTGTTACTTAGATTAACTTCCAAGGTGAGCGGCACTAGTTAACAGTCATGAGTCATAATCAGCTTTACTTTAGACAAACTGTTAGAGTAATTGTTTTAATGTCAGGGATATTAGCATTTTTTACAGGTGAAGTGATATGAATGACCTTATATCTGCCTAGTTTAGTTAGTTCTGAAAAGTCATTAATTTGATGAATTTTACTCAGAGAAAAATTTTGGTTAAAGTACCATGCTGTATGGTGATGACATTTCTCGTAAAAAAATTAATAATTTTGGTATTAAAACCCAAAATATACGGTATTTAAACCATTTATTTGGTAATTTGTCCATTAGTGTAATAATAGTTCAGTAGAAATTTTGGTAAAATTACCGTGCTGTATGGTTATGACATTTCCCGTAAAAAAATTAATAATTTTAGTATTAAGGCCCAAAATATACGGTATTTAAACCATTCATTTGGTAGTTTGTACATTAGTGTGATAACAGTTCAGAAGAAATTCTGGTTTTCAAAATTATAGTTTTTATTAGCACACATTTAGTAAAAGTTACAAAACTGAAAAGTAAATTTAATCGAATAAATGGTTTTATGTCATGGTTTAAAGTATAATGATAAATTTACTAATTTTTTCCACATTTATAAAATTTTATCTCATATTATAAAACTATATTTTATTGTTAATTTTTAGCAAAATCTTTATCAAAGTGGTTCGGTAAAATTATCGAGCTTTTTAGTGTTAATGTAGAGCCGGAAATGCGGCAAATTTTACCACATTTTTGAAGTTTTGGCCATTTTTTCTTCTCAGTGCATTGTTACTACATTTTTATTATCTCGCTTTCGTCTCTATGATTATAGTATCTTGAAATTTTGGCAACCTTCTGAAGGGCTAGCTTATTCAAATCTCTGCTAAAGCTTCTACTTTTACTAAAGATTTTACTTTTAATACAGAAAAAGACACCGGTGTTTCATCCTGTATTTCAAAACCATAAATTATTAAAATGCTAAATAAAATAAATGTCAATCATTTTGACCTTTATTAATACAAAATAATAAAAAATTTATAAAAAATAAATTTAATAAAAATTCAGCATCAAAGATATAAATTTTCAGGGAAAATCTTTTGTTTATATCTGGAGGTATTAATGAATATTTATTCTTATATCTCTAACTTATTTATTGGACTATTATTTTCGCTACTATCTGTAAATCTAAAATTAATTATATGCAATATTTATATATAAATAAATATAGGTAAATTATCCAACATTTCTTACATAAAACTTCTATTAATTTTTTGGAAAACACTTGCAAAATACTTGAATTTCACAAAGAATAGTCATTATATAATTTAATCATCCGCCTCATCCAAGCAAGCCGAACTTCAATCAATTGATTCGATTTCAACGTGTGAATCATTGCGACGTGGTTATTGATACACCTGGAGCATTAGTTGTTTTTGTGAAAAGTCGGGATGCGATAAACATATTTAAGAGAAAAATCATTCGATAGTTATTTTTGATTTTATTCTATTTAGATTCTGTGCAGATGTTTCAACTTATTGTTTGACGTAAAAGATATTTTATGAAAAATTTCGCAGAGGAATATAGCTTAAGAGAGTGCTATTACAACGGGAAAAACTTTACGTCTCAAATTCTCATTCAACTCTATAATTAATTTTAAATTTGAAATATGGAAAAAATGGGTTCAGACAAACCTAGAGTAAGCCGTGAAGCTTCAATTTCTTAATAAAAAATTCAAAATATTAAAATGCAAGCAAATTATTGGAAGAAAACTGCATTATCAGCTTTTAATTTTTTTTAATTTTAATATTTGGGCATTTTTTTTTCAATATTTGCAATTTCATGGCCTACACTGTGTTTGTCTGAACTCTTTTATATTTAAAATTTTAAATTAGTTATGGAGGTGAAAGTGAATTTGCGACGTAAAGTTTCTTCTGCGGTATGGCTTTCTTTTAAGATACTTTTCAAATATTTTGAACTAATATAAAATAACTAACATAAACATAATAAAAGGAAGCGTTACGGGCAAAAATTTATAATAATTTAAATGATTCAAAAGTTAATTACCAACAAGTCTTAGAAGCAAATAAAGTACTTATTTCCTAATATTTGTAATTTGAGTGTGAAATACAAAAAGGATAGAAAAACTACGTCCAAAAATGCTCTAAAATATCGAAATGGCTGATTGCAAGTTCAATGATGCATTATAGTTATATTGGTTGAAAACTTTGGTAAAATAATAAGCAAATAATTTCCTTTACTTCCCTCAGGGCTGCGTTAGACATAGTGACAGCATTAAAATATGAGATACGAAAAGCAAAGCCTAGTAAAAAGTAAGGGTCTTTCAAGTTGAGTCGAATGCAGCGACAGCTGGAATCGGTTATGCTGCTACAAACATAAATGATGTTACGCAATTATGGTAAAGTGATCAAAAGGGGCTGAAAACTAAAACAAACGGGGGAAATTATTGAGGCACCGTAGCACACGCGTATTTAATTAGCATCGAACCCGGTTAATTGTATACCAGTCATAAGTTTTCGTTCAGCATTGTATATTATTTGCAGAAGGGAGCAGAGAAAAAATCAAGTTATTTCTTAACATAACAAAAATTACAAATTAAAACAATTTTTTTAGACATTTAGAAATGTCCTTACTGTTACTAGTAAACACCTATTTTCTCGTATGGCTCCACAACAGCCACAAAAGCCTAGGAAGAAAACCAATCCTCCTAAACCTACAAGTGTCCATGCTAGATACTGGGTGAGGGCGTAGCTTAACCCCGGTAGCACAAAAAGTTGGAATAATGTCACTTTTTCTTTGTCAACAAGAAAATAGATTCCTACAGCGAAAAGGAAACAGCCAGACACCTGTAAAAATAAGGAATAATTTCATTACACATAGATAACGTGTTAAAAGTATTATTTAAGAAATTTTAAATGCCCTTTTTATGCATGTAATTTTAAAAAATAATTTGAAAAATTATTTGGCTATTTATATCTAATCACAGTGTCTGATCACGTGGTTGTGCATGGCGTGTTAACTTTACAGCCTCAAGGTTTGAGTTTATTATCGCGTTGAATTATTTCTCAGATAAGATTTAATTGGATACCAGCAAGCAACATCACGTGTGTTGAACCTGATCTTGGTACAAAAAAATTAAAGGCTTAGGACGATTTCATGCTTAGAATAAAAACAGTTTCTTAATTAAAGTATTGACCGCGTCTCAAAATTTTTTACTCGTACTTGTTTGCTGATGGTTTAGATTATTTAATGTTGAAAACTGATGCCAACTGCTTATTTATGATATTCAAATATGTATAGTCATAGTTTTGCGGAGAAAAAAATTCTAGTAAAATTATCGACATGGTGATGACAGTTTTGGTAAGAAAAGAAACATGACTCACATGTCATAAGAAAACATGTCATTAGAAAAGAAACAAACATGTAATAAAAACAAAAATATACGTTATTTAAATCATCCATTTGGTAATATTTCCGTTTAGATGGTATCTGTTTTTCTGGAAATTCTGCTTTTAAAAATTACAGTTCTTATTATCACAAATTTTGTAAAAAAAGATTGAAAAGCAAATTTAACTGAATAAATTGCTTTTATGCCATGTTCTAAAGTATCATGGTAAAATTAACAGATTTTACTTCCTTTACCTAATTTTGTTGTTACTACCTAATTTTGTTGTTAACCATATTTTATTGTTACTTTTACCTCAATTATTCACTTTGGTAAACATTACTGATAGTTACTACAGTGACCGAAACATTTAAATTTTGTCATATTCTGATAGTTTCAACCATTCTTTTTTTAGTGTGAAATAAATTACAACTTTTAATTCGTCACTACTTTTGTTTATTATTTCCATAAACCTTTATATTTATCTTATTTTATTTTCCTTATAGTTCAAATAAAAGTATCGTATCATTCAGAAAGTTTTTATTTTTATTTTAGCTATTTAAAGTTTATCTTAATTTTGTTTAGGCTTCAACAATTCATGTCCAAGTTTTTTCATGCAGTTAACAACTATTAGAGTACAACTTATTTGTGTTCATTATGCTATTGTATTTATGTAGAACACAGATAATAGAAAAAAGTTTCTTCTTGTTATTTCGAATTTAGGGTTTAGTTATACTTTTTTGATATCACGCGTATTGCATACTGCATTTTTTGATTTAATTTAAAAGTGTTTCAAAAGTATGATAACTCAATTTTGGTAAAATATTATTGTATTTTTCTGAAATTTTATTTTTGTTGATTTATACATTATTTGAAATGTAAGATTATCATTAAATACAAATAAATATGCAACACGAGAATAAAATATTATTATTCATTTTGATTTTGTGGCAGGAGTCAGAAAATAAATATTTTTTGATCTCGTCAGACAATTTCAATTATTAAAAAATTATTTTTGCTGTGTACTTACCCAAAACAATAAATTGAAAGTGACCAGAAGGCCTTTGGCACATTTAGCTCCACACGACAAACCCATTATAATTTTCCAAGCCCACTCCTCTAATTCTTTTAACATCTACCTGAAATATAATATAACAATATAAATTACGAAAACTGAGTTTATTTAGGTAAATATCAAGTGAGCACCCCTTAAAAAAGAATATTGTTTTCAATAAAAAATACTTTATTTTTTAAAATCGAATTGAATTTTTTTTTTATCTAAAAATTTTTGGCACAGTTTTAAAATTTAAAGTGAATTACATCATCTTTTAAGTAAATATAGCATTGTATTTGATCAAAATTTTTGATATAAAAGTAACTGTCAGTCATAATAGTTTAGAATTTTTTTTGTGAAATTTGAAAGGAAAAATAAAAAAAATTTCAAATTTTAATCCTGAAACATTCCGTGATTAAAACTCTCTGAATGAAACAAAATAAGAGATAAAGTAAATAGATCAAAAAATAATATAAACCTTTTCTTATTGAGAAAAAGTTCATAAAAACACTGGACTTAATTGATTGTGGCTGTTTTTGATGCACATTTCCATGTACATTTTACAGATTTCATCAAAATTTGAAACAATTTTGGCACAAAAATATTAGCTTTTTTTTAACAAAAATTTAACAATTTTTTTAAAAATTTTTTTAAAGTGAAAATGGCTACAAAAATCTACAGAAATTATTGTTAATAATTCAAAATTGTTGAAATAATGCATTAAAATTTGGCCACACCATTCTGGTTTCTTTTTATTTTTTAGAACTATTTTTTCATGAAATTCAATAATAATTAAGGCTTACTAAAATATCATTCAATAATCAATTTCCATCAAATGTGGAAATTTAAATGTATACTATTTCAAGATAGAGCTTGCAAACAGTTTAAAATATAAAAAGTAATAATGTCTTTACACTTGTTTCAAAATATAAGAAAATTTACTTTCGAATAATAAAAAATTTACGCGTTGAAACCTGCAGAGTTGTAACAGATAATATTAATTACATAAAAAATATAAATGTACATTTTAATGGGCATATTTTATTGATGTTTTTAAATCTGCTACACATTATATTTAAAAGGGAAGTTACATATTTCATATGTAAAATCCATATTTTAACAGTATAGGGAAAAAGAAAAATTTTTAAATTTTTACTAACAAGCACAGGTTTATATATTTTGTTATTTTGCATAATGATTATCTTTAGTTTTATTATACTCGCATAAAATGCTTGGATAATATCAGCAATAATTAATTATATAAGTAGTGTAAATTTTATATTTTCATTCATCAAAAAATGCAATATTTTTTATACTTTTCAGGAAAAAAATGTTTATGAAAATAAAAATTGCTCAAAATATCAAATCATTCTAATTTCCAGTAAAATGAAATTACAAAAGATACATTTTAAGTTAGAATCTTTTTTTACAATAAACAGTTATACTTTAAAATATGCGTAGCATTTTACTAGACTTGGCCTAGTTATTGTTCATTACAATTCATGGTGAGATTTTTATTAATAAGTTGTCCTTGACTTAAATAATTTAATAAAACAAGCACAAAAAGGAATGCGTGCTTAGACAGAATCTTAAAAGGATTAAAAGAAATTTGGAAATTTTTACTGTTGGCATCGAAGAAATCTATGCCATCCGCGTCGCTTCATTTGAGTCTCTTAGCAAGCGATAATTCAGGATAATGTTCGAACCACGCAATGCTTCAATAACTGCCATAATGGGAAGACCTATCTGTGAACTTAGGCTAAGTTAATATTTAGTCAGCAGTTAAAAAACTTTTAAGTCATCAGTTTAGGGTTTAAAGGCTGAGTTATGTCATTTGGTTTAAGCGAAGGAAAAAAGCTTTACAATAAGCATAAAAAAAGTTAGTGTTTTGTAAGAAGAACTTGACAAATACTTTATTGATTGATATTTTTCTTTGCTTTGTTTGCTTTCAAATGCTACTGGGTTTTGTTTGACTTCAGAATAATTTATTCAACTTCATTTGAATTGACCCATTTCAATTGAACTTTTAATGTAACCTGGAAGTTCTAATAGGAACTTTGAAAGTAAGTTAATTATTAAAAGAAACTCCAATGCATCGGAACTCTTAAAAAGTGTTTATTTAGTTTAGCAAAAACATGAGGAACTAAAATAATGCTTTGATGAACAACAAGCAAGGAAGTGCAAGACAAATAGGAGATGATGTTTCATCCAAGTAAAAACTATGCTAAAACTGTAGCGCTGTATATTGAAAATAATGGTATGTAACAAGAATCTATGCTGTTTTTCATGTGCCGAAACATCTTAGCGTTTTCCTTTTACAGGAAAGTTGAAAAAATAGGAGTCATGCAACGCAGCGATATTTGTAAATTGCAGTAATATTACGTAGTTAACTGATCACCGCAACTGAAGAGATTTCTTCGCACACATTAATTCGATACAAAATAATTTAAATTTTCCTAAATATGCACTAATAATACTAAAGCCATAAATGATGTAATTTTAGTCACCATACACTGAGAAATATAGTATTTTCAAAGCTACTAGAATATGGTAAAAAATTACGTCGTTTTTGGCTCTATAGAAGCACCAAAAAGTACGGCAATTTTTACCGAAGCACTAAGGTAATGATTTTTGGTAAAATTATCAATAAAATATGGTTTTATTACCATGTTGTTTGGTAGTGAATGTGGTAAAATGTGGTCATTTTATCATGATACCTTAAAGCAGGGTATGAAAACCTTTCATTTGGTTAAGTATACTTTTCAGGTTTGCATTTTTGTGAAATGTGTAGTGATGTGAACTATAATTTTGAAAACCAAATTTTTCAGTAAACCACCACCATACAAACGAAAATATTATCAAATGAACGGTTTAAATACCGTATAGTTTGGTTTTATCACCAGAATTATTATCAACCAAGAATAATTACAAAAATTTTATTTTACGTTTGCTTTGCTACATTTTCTTCATTTTCAAAATTTTTTTCGTGCAGAAGTTAAACGTGATAACAACATTTAAAAATAGAGTTTTTTTTTAAAAAAAAAAATCTTTATGCATATTTAAAACGTGAATGCTTCTTTATAATACATTACGGATCCCACAAATTTTTAAATCCATACAAAATTACTGTGTACTAAAAAAATTTGCAACAAGAGATCTGAAAACATTATGCTCATAGATTTTCAAATTATTCTCTTAGGCTTATTTCTGTATCGAAACAAATGCTAAAAAGCATCCTCGAATTTTCCATACATTGAAATTGAATTTCCCATATATTATATTACATACATATAATTTGTATGTAATATAATATATTACACACAAATTATTTGTATGGAATATAATAATTTGCACGTGATTAAAATTTGTATAATTTGTATGTTATTTATGTTATAGTTTGTATGTTTGTATTCACACATTGAAAATACCCTATATTGAAAATTTTATTTTTTATGAATTCTGTTTGAGAAGTCTACTATTTCAGCTAATGTTCAGAAGCTAATTCGAGATATCTAGATATCCGAAAAATATTTTAATTAAAAAAAATGTGATTGGATAAAAATGTTTCAAATACTTTGCATTCATAATAAAATGAAAAATGGCATAAATGGAATTTTATATTATGAAAAAGAAAGAGAATCTATTAATCGATAATACTAATTAATTTTATTCATAGTAATTAATCTCTTTTCTATAGAACCAAGTACTACTAACTAAAAATTACATTTCCATTTAATTTAAAAATTATAGTCAGCATAGATTGAAATTTTCATTGATTATATGAATTCTGTTGGTGAAGCCACTTTTCAAGCAAAAGCTCGGAATTTTAAAATTACAGTCAGCATAGATTGAAATTTTTATTGGTTATATGAATTCTGTTGGTGGAAGCTACTTTTAGAGCAAAGCTTGGAATTTTAAAATTATAGTCAGCATAGATTGAAATTTTCATTGGTTATATGAATTCTGTTAGTGGAAGCTACGTTTCAAGCAAAAGCTCGGAATTTGAAAATTATAGTCAGCATAGATTGAAATTTATTTTGGTTATATGAATTCTGTTGGTGGAAGCTACTTTTCAAGCAAAAGCTCGGAAGCTAAAAAAGGGACATAAAAAAAGAAATTCATCACAATTTAAAAAAATTGAGTGATGATTTGAAGTGCTTTTAAAATGTCTTGTTTTCGAATTAAAAAAAAATGGCATAGATAAGAATTGTATACTATGAACAAGAGGTTAAATCTAGTTACAGATAATGATAATTAATGTAAATTTTCATTGTTATTTTATTTCTACTAAAACGCGTGATAGATCAAACATTCTTTAGTTTCATCTAAAAATCAAGGATATTGAAACTTTTATTAGCTTTATTAATCCTGGTAGTGAAAGCTACTTTTTGACTGACATGTCCAACAATTAATACGATTTCAATTTCTTATTTAAAAAAATGATTGATGGATTAAAGCGCTTCAAATCCTTTGAGTTCGACACCAAAAGAGAAATGGCAGATACTATGAGCAAGAAAGTGAATCTAGTAATCGGATTAGCAAAATAATTCCCTTATGAAATGGATGTTATTTTCCACCTTCTATTTATTGATGACATTGGTATGCGTGGGAAGTGAGCCATTGAACCTTTATATCATGCACAACAATTTTATCCTCGAGGGGACAGAATACTTGATTATAACGAATGGAAAGACATTTCCGATTTTTCAAATGCAGCAAACTCGTTAAAGTAGTACTAGGTAACGTGATAAAAAGACGTAGGTCGTAGCTGTCATAAATGCGTGTAGGCTTAACAAAGTACTTTTTAATTAAATAAGGTATTTTAATCGAATGAAGTAATTTTTATATACTTTAAAATTACCAAACGACAAAGATATTGAGCTGCTGTCGCCAAATGGTGTTTCTCACAACTCAAGGCTCTGTGGAAGGTTCACACGAACTCCCAGAGTTAGGATTTTTTATTTTTACCTGTTATTAGTTTTGAAATCTGTAATTAAATTTATATTCCATTTGTTGCTCACTATTTCTGTTATTTTTATAAAATGATATAATTGAAATGCTTGCTAAAAAAGAAATTTCAAATTT